ACTTGTTTATCGTAATGATATGGGTAATGTATGAAGCTTTTGGCTCTCTCATCTTTACTAGTAAACAAACAAGCAAACGAAAACATTACCTCTAAATGAAACTTTTRCATGACATCCCTTGTCATGTTGCAATGAATATTTAACAAGAAAATTCAATTCATACACAAATTTTATCAGTGAATAAAATGGCTGAAACAAGAGCAACATAAGGTTCCACATTCTGCATAATCTGCTTAATTTTGGTAATATTTTTTTAATGAAACCTGTTTTTTCTCTACAGAGGATTTCCAATTTTACATCAATGAAGTATTAATTGAGGAAATGGGTATGCTTGGCGCTGGTGGCATTGATATGGGAGCTGCTGAAGTGCGTATTGGAGCACAGAAGAACGTTATCGACTATTTCTCTGGAGCCGTTTCATGTCTGCAGATATTTGATGAAGCGCTTAATATTCAACAGATAGCTTTGCTTAAGAGTGCTTGCAGTGCAGGTATATGTTTCTATTGCAGGTTGACTGTTCCTAATTATTAATTATTATTATTATTATATGCAGCAAAGCTGACTATCACTAGTACTTTCTGAATAAAATATTGGCGATGATATCCCATAATTGAGCAAAAAAATCATAACTTCTGCATATTGGCCTGAGAGGATCTTACATGCGCGCGCGATACGGATTTTATCTTCGAGTGTTCAAAAGATCTCTCGCGAGTGGGCGTAGCGAATGAGTGAGATATTTTCAACACTAAAGATAAAATTCGTATCTTCAAGCAACCATGTAATATTCTATTTATCATATAATTACATATGAAAGCAAATTTTGTCATAAAATACTTTCTCTACATACTTCCACTATGTAGAGAAACTTCGAATGTTTTATTTTCACTAATGAAAATATCAATTTTATGAAATGGAGAAATATAGGTATTTCATAGATAATTATATGATAAAATATAATATTATTTCTGATCTTATGTTATCAGCTGAGTACAGTATTTTGATTATATGATGATTGTTGCTATTTCAGACTTTGTCCAACCTCCACTCCCTTCAACAAAATCACTAAAACATCAATCCAAAGAGAGTCAAACAATGACACACAAAATGGAAGAAAAAATGTCYATGTTGATGAAAGAAACAATAGACTCGAGTATGAAAGCCACCAAGTCTAAGACTGATGCTTTTGACTTGGAACAAGATATTCGTGATGCATTGAACAAGTCAAGAAGTAAGTTGTTACAGGCCTATTTGATAAAGTTGTATTGTTATTATCGAGATAACAGTTTAGTATATACGTCAAGCACTTAAGAAACAGGCAGTATTCTCCATTCCGGGTTCGTGTAGACTAGTTTTCTTCTTGCTCCGAGCTAAGTTAGCTTTTCTCTATCGACCAACAACTAGATGTGAAGAGTTTTCTGTGGTACTWAACCYACACCAAATAGAAWTGACAACGTTTTGTGTCAGAAGCAAGAGTATTGTCACTGAATAATTTGGTACATCCTTTTCGTGGATTGAGTTCCATATCTGTAGCAATAAATACGGTTTTTGATACAAAGTCAATGTCTTGTTTTAGATATAATAAACATAGCTGGAGGCATTGCAGACACCCTAAAATCAGGCTCAGCCAACCAAAGCATGCTACTGAAAGAAGCAGAAGAAATCCTTAAAGAGTTACAAAATAGAGACTTCACTGATTTGAACAACACAGTGAACAATGAACTTGACATCATCGCATCAGTGGCTGGCACAGCTAGAATGCTGTTAAATGAAACACTTGGTCTCCATGACCAGGCWAATAGAGCCAAAGAAATGATTGCAAAGTTAAAAAAAGAATTCATGGGGTTATTGGATACTAGTGTKAAAATCTTGGAGAACGTTACCATTGCTGAGAAATGGAACGATAAAAGTAAACATTACGACTACATGGTTAGTGATAATGCCTGTTTTTGTGTGTGTGTGTTTTTTTTCCAAATACCTATAAGGTATATAGAGGATAGATATTACTTGGGCGCGCGGAGATAAGGATTTTATCTTTGAGTGTTCAATTGATGTCTCATGAGTGAGCGAAGCAATCAAATTTATATCTAGAAGGCAAGAAATAGGACAATTTTGTACGGAATATTCGTGGTAAAGGGTTATGTTCACATGTGAAAGATGTCACTTTTTCACGCTAGAGATTTCCTGGCATTTCGTTGAAGTTTATATAATAACTGGACAAAATACAGCAGACTTTTTGATTTGGAAATACTTCCTGATGTATTTGCATATAATACTAACTATGACTACTTCTTTGAACTAATTTGATTGCCCGTGCAACATGGCTCAGTTTGCTAAGAAATGGTTCTATAATGTAACACATATTTGAAGATCACAAATTCACCTTGTCAGAAAACCACTGAAATCGAAGGATTTGCGTCCTAATAATTCACTATTATTATGTATGCTTTCTGTTTGCTATCAGACTCAAATTATGGAAGCGAAAGCAAAGAAAGAAGCCATGCAAGAGACTTTAAACATGGTGCAAGACGTACTTAGGAAGACTTCAGTCAGCCTTATRAATGCAACCCAAAGTTTTGAGGTACTAAAAAATCTAAAAGTTAGCTATTATTTTAATGCATTTGGTAACGTTTTTGTGGTCTTTTTAAGAGTTAGTTGTCTTGTTTTGTTTTACTTGCATCCTTGCAAAATGATATCAACCCCTAATAAGTGAACTGTTTTTCAGAGCTTCAATGGCAGCTTTGCTCGTCTTGACGATCTCATTCGTCAAGTCTACGATAGATTCAAGAACCTTACGATGATGATCAATGATCTACAACCCTTAGCAAGACGAGCTGGCAATCACTCTGAAGTATTACGAAAGCAAGCTAAAGTCCTAGAAGATCTCCTAGAAGATACCAAACAGTTCTCAGAGAAAGCTCTTAACGCTTCGAAGGCTTACTCTAACATTGCTAACAAATTGAATGAAGCGCTAGAAATTGCRAGACAAGCTGAAGGGAATGCTACACAAGCACAGGAAAAGGTATTTATTTAGACGCTTTTAGAGCGTGAAGTCGGGCTAGTTATTTTTGAAAATAAGCAGGCCGACTAATAACTAATACAAGGCTGTCGTTTGACGGAAAAATGACTACATTTGCAGATGTAGGCTGCTTGTTTTCTCGACATAGGCATCGGAAAAACAATTATACTAATAACCCACTTTCAATACCCTGCTTGAATAATTCCACGCAAAAGAATTGAAGACGAGGCTTTGGGGGAAACAAAAGAATAATCTATTGTAATAATCTAACCTTTTGTGTTGTTTACTAGGCAAAACATGTGAGTGACAGAGCAAAGGTATCAAACGACAACAGCAGAGACATCTTGAACAAATCAAGAGTTGCAAAAGACAGGGTCGAAGGCAACCTACAAAACCTTCTTGACAATCTCAAAGATCGCATTGAAAAGCTAAAAAGAAAGATCGCGTCTGTGGAAGTTGATTTGGGGATGGTTGACGATACTTTTGAGGAGATTGATAAACATGGTGACATGGGTATGTCTTGTTTTGCTACTGTACTGTAGGGTGGGGAGGTTTCATATAAATGAGTGACCTGTACTATGCGGCTATTTATTAGCCATTTTTTTAAATTCAATTGTTCAATGGCGTCGATACCAGGCAAGGTTCTATGATCATTCCTCGGCCTTTTATCCTCTTGCCCGTTACGTTGAATAGTCATACGAAATCTGCTTTTGTTTGTGTTGACTTTTATATGAATAATGATGATAATTAATAATAATGATGATAATTAATAATAATGATGGTAGTTAATAATAATGATGGTAATTAATAATAATGATGGTAGTTAATAATAATGATGGTAATTAATAATAATGATGATGATGAGAATTCAGTGACGTCAACAATTTATAAAACATATTGTTGATGATTACCATAATGACATCGATGTCATGATATTGAACGCCAATTCTTGGGCTGAGACCACATGATTAAGAATCCCCGTGAACCATCGCCGACAGGATAGGCGCGAATAAGCGTTTTATATTCATCCAAAATGGCGGCTACGACGTACAGTGTAGCATACAACCCGAAAATAAATGTTTGGAAAAGGTTTACATTGTCTTGCTGTGTGACAATTATAACAATATTATTCATTGTGACATATTTATGACTGTGCTTTTCATAATGCTCAGGCGCCAGGGCAAATACTGCTGAGAARAACGCCACAGATTACCAAATGGTTGCAAACGATGCTTATGAAATCGCAAGGAAAATTGAGGTTTGAATTTAAATGTCTAACGCTCTAACGTTGTACTTATCAAAAGTACATAACCAGAAGTGTCCATCTCTAAAATAATTCCTCGTCATCAGATATTTTTAGACAACCTATTACAACGCACGCAGATATAACGCGTTGTGATTTCTTGAGGTGAAAGGGTTATTTTAGAGGTGGACACTTCTGGTTATGTAAGGGTATGAGTCTAGCTCAATTTATCTTGTTTATAGGATGCACTACCACAACTTGAACAACTGAAACAAGATATCATTTACGCCAACAACAACATTACTGAGACAGAAGTGGAAATGTTGGATGCTGTGAATAAATCATTGAATCTGAAGGATCGTATCACGGTAGTCAGTACCAAACAGAAAAGAATCCAAGATGAACTTAAGACTGAAGTTTTGGATGTGATACGAGAGATTCAGGTATACGCATGCACTCTATCTGGTTAATCGACCCACCCCTATTGGGGAATGTATGTCAATGTCGGCTGATCTGCCCTTTCTAAGGCCCCGTTTACGTTTATCTTTATATCTGTTATAATTTCGAAGTCTTGAGTTATGGCTAATGTTTTTTTGTGATTAATTTTCCGTCTTGGAGAAAAATTGAAAGTAATACAATGAATAATATTATATCAAATAAATAATAGTACTTTATCGAACATATATCATGTACCGTTTAAATTCAAAGACGTCAGTATTTTATTTATGTTTTTCTTGATTTATCAGAACATGCTCAGTGAGTCTCATGGCATACTAAAGAGTTTAGATCAAGTGATGGACTTCACCGGTGAAACGTTTACCAATCCCCCTCCACCACCACTGTCACGTGGCTCGAGCKCCTTCAAAGACATTGAACTACTGATAAAACCTCGTGTGGAGAATGCACTTCTGTTGTACTTTGGACGAATTTTAAATACACAGCGACTGCGGAGACAGGCTGGTCAAGAATGTGAATGGGATTTCATTGCTATAGAATTAAAGAACAGCAAGGTCAGTCAAATAACTCAGTAGRTAGTCCGTAGAGAAATTCACTAAACTTTACCTTAATTGTCTCCCTGTTTCGAATTCTTTGTTCTTTACTTTGCGGCAACACATTTCATTTACTTTGTCATCTGTTGTAGGTATTTAAATGATGCTCCTGAATAGACCTCTGAAGTTTTTACGTCATTTACCGTATACGTGATGTATTGTGGGATATGGTCAAAACATGGCGGAATTCTTTTGTTTTCTACAGAAACTGACCCACAATGCATCGCAAATCACGTACCATAAAAATATAAATTTAGTGCATTAAATTTCGTGAAAATTGAAAAACAAGCGGACARACAGACTTAATGWTTACTTAAACAATAATCGAAGTTAAATGATTAAGGCGTATTAAATGMAATTTAATTTTTTTTAAAAAACGCGAAATTAAAGCCTCWCGAAAATTAGTACTAACAAGGTAGGTAAAACCTTCAGAAATCTATTGTGCTAATCGCTATTATGTTTATTATTGTCTTATTAAAGCTATTTAATTATCTGATGTTTGTACAACGTCGTTTTCCTAGGCTCATGTCGTCATGTGCATCTCTAAAAGATTAGCAACAATTACTAGTGAGGAGGATTTGAGACCATTTAAGGAATCTGAGACAACAGACAAATTGGTTTTGGCAGGAAGTGAATCAAAAGACCCGTATTACAAGATCCGCTTTCAACTGTAAGTCCAACAAACAAGAAAGTTAGTGATTTTCACAGCAAAATTGTGATTGTGTAGAGGGCTTAACCTTCTCAATTAGTTAACAACTGTAATTCCCATTTCCAATAGAAATGTGTGGGTTTTTTTTGTGCGTGATATCTACTATATTTTTAGCTCAGTTGATTGTAAGCCGCGTGGCTGCCAATTAGCCGATAACAAAACGAGCAGGGGCCTGGGACTGAAAATTTTAAAAGTGCTACAATCTTACAGAAATCTGTTGTTGATAGATAAAGCACATATAAATTACCTAAACTTTAAAGTTTGAGCAAGTTTAAGTCATTAGAATTGGGAATATAATTTTTTTAAAATTTCGAAAATTACAAAGAATGTATGTTTGGCTGGACGCTTTGGCTGGACACCATACATTTCTTTGTAATTTTGGCATGGTTTGAATGTCCATAACTTTATTGCTATAAGTTCAAACATCATGRAACTTAGTCAGTAAGCCTTTTATAAGGTGCTCTTTCACATGATGGGGTTATTTTTTCTGGAACCATTATTTAATTAGATTTGGAAGTTCGTACCCAGTCCCTTTTTCGTTTTGTTATCGGCCAATTGCGCCTTAAACAGCGGTCCGTGTGAAATGATCTATACATGTGAAGCGCCTGTGAACTCATAGGATATCGGCGCTATATAAATACCACATATTATTATTATATTATTATTGATTCTTTGCAAAGCGTTGTGACTGTAAGAATGTCACGGTGTGAATCGTTCCATAGACAGACAGACCGTTGACAAATCTGTTGATCTCAGAAATCATTTGTTATTGTATCATTTTATTCACAGGAATGGTGATRGTGCAACTCTGAACGTCGAGGAGTACATTAGCAACAAAAAAGACGTCATAACATATAAAACAAAGAAAACTAAGGTAAGTTCATCATTGGGAACGTAGTGTCGCCCATGGACGAGATTTTGCACTACTTTCTAGCCAATCAAAGCGCTTGTTATATCTCTGCTTTCTTTTTAGATCACTGCTACTAACCCTTTGTAATAGTCATATTCTAGCCAATCAAAGGGCGTGTTATATCTCTGTTTTCTTTTTAGATCACTGCTTCTAACCCTTTGTAATAGTCATATTCTAGCCAATCAAAGGGCGTGTTATATCTCTGTTTTCTTTTTAGATCACTGCTTCTAGCCCCGTGTTTCGTGTGGATCCTGATAATAGTCATCTGTTGGTTGGTGGTGTCCCTGATGGTGTTCAAGTACCAAAGGAAGTATCACGTGTTATGTACCAGGGAGCAATGGATGGTGTCAGGATTGACTTTGTTCCTGTTGGATTGTGGGATACCAAGGTAAAACCACAGGAAACCCAAGCAATGACTTTTTAATGAATTTTCAATTGTTAGCAATTAAATTTTATTTCTGAAAATGGTTTACTTTTACTATATTTAGCTTATTAAGCATGGTTTTTAATAAARTGTTATTGTTTGCACTCCCTGTGRCAAAACACGACTGTAAAATAATCGTTATGATGAAAGAGTTCACCCTCGATTGTTGCCAATTCAACTTTTTCAACTTTTGGGTTAAAATTAGGTGTATAACATATTCAAAGTCTATAAAAACAAGGATCCTTCATCACTGGGGGGGTTTTCAGTAGAAACCTGCAATATACTGTTCTTTTTTGTCCTCTTTAGGAACTTATCAAACCAAAGTTCACCTTCATAAGGCAAGCCTTCAAGAAAGATGTCGAGAATGAGTATCAATTCTTCGGAAACAGCTTCATCAAAAGTGGAAAATTCAAACGAAGCATACTCTATGACTTCTCKTTTGATTTCAAAACTATTCAATCTAATGGCGTCCTTCTTCTTGCCGTAGAAGGAAATAAATAYACTATGGTCGACATTGTTAACTCTCGGCTACGCTACAGCTATAACATGGGTTCTGGTAATGCTAGCGTCGTGTCGAATAAGATTGTCAGTGATGGCAAAACACATAGCGTTCAAATATTAGAAACCGGTGATGATTTKGATCGATTTGATTTCATAATCACCGATGGCAAAGGAGTCAAGGAAGAAGTTGCTAAAGAAAAACTTTTCTACGAGAATAAAGAGTATAATGGACAAGTGGTGGCCGAGTACGTTTATTTTGGCGGTGCTGAAAAATACCCGAAGTTGCCCGCTGGAATGTAAGTGTAATTTTTTTTTCATTTTAAACTTATTTATTTACATGTATACTCGTGAATAGAGTACTCAAGTGTGACGTCACAAAAATACTTTTTTTCGAWTTTTTCCGATTCGTTGAAATATCCTTAAAGCGCATGGAAAAAGTAAATTTTAGTGTCCTAGTGCCATTTATAGCGGAGATGCAATCGTTTGTATGTGGTCACCCGCCCGTAAAATCGCTTGAACCTCCACTAAAAATGGCACTAAGACACTCATATTTGGCAAGGATGCATTAAAAATGTTGCAATTTTCAAAACTCAGACATTTTCGTTTTGTGACGTCATCACTTTAATGAGTACTCTATACCTCGCTCCCAGGTCCTTATCCCTTCGCTTGGGGCCTGGGAAGGAGGTTGATGTGAGGCGTGACTGATATTCGCATACCCAAGCTTGAGGATTTMCTCGTATCTAYYTCATTAGTGGGATTTACCTGATTCACGACTTTCCATAYTCAGGTTCAGTGACCTCGAACAAAGCATTGAACCGAGGCGTCAAGGTACATTGAACATAMAAGAAATGATCTGTGATCAGTGTTCCTTGAYGCCYCGGTTTAGTGCTTTGTTCGTAGTCACTGAACCTGAGTATGGGAAGTCGTTGAATACCTTATATGTCTCTATTCTGACAAGTTCCACCACACGTCGAAACAGCGGCCATAATTTTTTTGTATTCGGCAAGATCGGCACTGATAAGGTTAGACGTATGTGGCTTACAACAGTCCCACGCTAGCACTACCGGCTACTCGTCACACTGACTGACACATACCGTTATGATACGCACTTGCATAACCTTATTTATGTGTTTTTGCAGGGAAAATAGTGATATTAAGAACTTCATAGGTTGTATGTCTAAAATTAAGACCAGCATTTCTAACCGACCGAAGCCTGGAGACGACGTCTTTGTGAATATCCAGAAATTTTGTGATAAAGATCAAGTAAGGATTCAAATGATAAAAAAGATGAAGTGTTGCRGTAAATGATTGAATGTTTCTTTCTTTTTTCAGCCCGCTCGTTATGTCACAATGGTCTCTGATAATAGTTACCTGGCACTGAAGCCGTTCCCGCTAMRAAAMCGGCAGCTCTCTATCGGTATTGCTTTCAAGACAAAATCCGAATATGGCATCATATTGTTCCAATCACATATGTCYAACGTGAGTAATTTACACATCACGCATGCTCGCAAGACTTTCTTCGCTTATCCCACATGGCTTATTGACTTGTTCGATATGTATTTTGTGTAAAAATGTAAAATATTTTAACAYCGTAAAAAAGTAGGTGACACAACWTATTGAGTTGTTTCACCTACTTTTTTACGGTATTAAAACTTATCTTTTCACACAACTGTTTCTTTAGAAACACCGACGCAGCTCACACTAATTTTAGAAATAACAAAAGACTCCTGTTTGGAATGTTTTACATCGTGTTATAACTGAAATTATATCTGGATTTATTTAGTTTTGTTCATTCGTTTTTTTTAGAAAGATACTCTGATCTTAGCCATGAAGGAAGGCCGTGTTGAATTTATGGCGAATGCCGGTGATGTACCAGTCAAAAAGACGACGAAAAATACTTACAATGATGACAAGTGGCACATCATAACAGTTACCCAATTGGGTTTAGAGTAAGTGTTATGTAGGAACGATATAACGCGCTTTATTATTGGTCAATGGAATTTACAAATGTCATCCAATACTTGTTTGTGTAAGAATGTCACAGCGACGATATAACGCGCCTTATTATTGGTCAATGGAATTTACAAATGTCATCCAATACTTGTTTGTGTAAGAATGTCACAGCGACGATATAACGCGCCTTATTATTGGTCAATGGAATTTACAAATATCATCCAATACGATGTGGCGTAAGAATGATACAGCACTCCTTATCACTGGAAAAAATCGTCCACTTCAAAAGGTCGTAAATTTAATGTAAATATCATGTAAGTGTCCAAAATGATGTAAATTTACATCATATTTACATCATTTTGGACACTTACATAATATTTACATCAAACTTACAACCTTTAAAGTGCGCGATTTTTTCCAGTGTATATGATGTATTATGTAGTAACAAATATGTTTTACGTAGAGTTACTCTGGACGTTGATGGAGAGGATTTTAAGGGAAGATTCGTACGTCATCAGATCATCCAAACGACCTCTGACCTATTTATCGGTGGACTGGGTCCTAAGGAAAAGGACACAATGAGAAGTGAGGGTGAACTTATTAAAGGCTCAATGAAGACATTGGCAGGAGCGTCATTTAGAGACTTAATTTTTAATGGAGAGTGAGTATCATGTTTTTTTTAGTTTTTTATTTCATTTGTCGAGACTTAAGTGAGGTAATTTCGTCATAATCTGATCAACGTAGCATGACATGACGAAAGGAAAAAAAGATATTTTTCTTACTTGCACCACTCACTTTCTACTAGAAATAACTAGTCAGATTTTATACGAGAACTAGACCCTGACAGCAGGGTGTACTCGTGCCCTAAAGGTGTTGAAAAGTGCTCCGTACTTATTCAAAACTAGACCCTGACAGCAGGGTGTACTCGTGCCCTAAAGGTGTTGAAAAGTGCTGTCTTATTCAGTACTTTTTCAAAATGAGCTCATTTAAAACTTTTCTTGTGTTTGACCAACCATGTAATATACTCTTTCTCAATTTTCAAAAATAGTTCGACCGAGTTGACGCTCTAAGGAGGGTCTGGTTTAGATGTAAAGAATAGTGCTACCAAAGGCATGCAGTTCATCTATACTGATAAATCACAAAGTGATTTGAAATCAAACTATATTAAGAGAAAACATTTGTGAAAGTAACTCCTTGTTGATTTACTTTTCACGTAATATTTAGCAGCTTTTGAAGGAACTAGATATACAATAATTTTTGACAAATCTTTAAAAGCGTAGAATCAAATCGTTCACTCTGATAGTCTTCCGCGTGAAACATAGTAAGAATATTGTAGTAATTTAAAGGTCAAGTATACTACAGTATCAAAATCAGACAGCTCGGCGCCGTGTGGCGAGCGATCTTCGCAAACAGGAAGGGCCCGCTCTATAACCATACATATGATCGCTTCAATGATCTTCATCTAGGAATACTCATCTGTGAATAGCATTGTTTTCTTTAACCAGAAGAGACAGAATCCCTCATCAAATTAGAAAATATAGGCTATGCAACTCAGAATCAGACAGCCACGTAGTCAGCTACGAAGTATCGGTTTATATCTCGCCGAGGAAAATGAACTATTTGGCTCGATACACCAACCTTTATGACCTAAACCAATGTCCTAATGCATGCTCTTACACAGATGAATATTTTGGAATAACAAAAGGCCTCGAATATCAAGGAATTACTAAAAAACTACAGTAAATCCCGGGCAGTTATTGCTGTTCTATGATACGATTGTTTAGAGTACTGGTTCGTATGTAGAAGAGCTGTCGATCGTATAACTTGAGATCTCTTCGCCTTTAACAGAAAACCTTCCGCTATCCCAAATACTCAGATGAGTAATAAGCGGCAGAGTCTGACCTCAACAGTCGATAATTCCGAGTTTTGAAGAATATTTGTTCAATTCAAAGTGCGTGCTGTATGACACATCCACGGGCTTCATTTATCTACGAAGTATTGATTTATATCTCGTTAGTTTAAAAGATACAGTAAATCCCGAGCAGTTTTGCTGTTCTATGATACGCTTGTTTACAGCCGAGTTCGTAATGTGATATTTCGTTTAGAGATCGGAGTGTGATCGGGGACAAAGGTACACCCGAGTTCGCAATGTGATATGCATTCGGGACGCAAAGGTCAGCCCGAAGACAAAGGTCTCACATAGAAAAAAAAAACTAAACTCACTGCATTTTCTGACTCGTGACCCGGCCTAGGGCCTGGTCACGAGTAATTAATAGCGTTACCTTTGTCGTGTGACACTTGCTTATCATACGGCATGTCAGTCTGTGTAGCTAAAAGTATTTGTCTTATCAGACTTAAGAGCTTTACAAAGGACAAGATTAGTAGCGTAAACGTGGTATTCGATGTTGAGGAACTCCCTGAAAGCAAGTTGACAGATTTCATAATCCCTAAACCACCAACAACAGAACCTCCTCAAACAACAACAGTTGAATCCACACCGAAAGAACCTTCAGCAACGGTAGCTACAGAGGCTACAACAGAAATGCCTACTACTGGAGCAATGTCAACTACTGCTACTATGTCCACTACCGCTGAAGTGCCAACCACTACTACAGCGCCCACCACTACAGAGACTTCTACAACATCAGCGATGTCTACAACAACAGCGATGTCTACAACAACAGCGATGCCGACAACATCAGCGATGCCTACAACAACAGCGATGCCTACAACTACAGCGTCTACAATGGCTCCGACAACATCACAGTTTTGCAGCCCAGTTGAGCCTGTGATAAGGGATGCAGCGGTAATTGATTATGGAATGGAACGGTACAGCTATGCACAGTATACTAACATCATGAAAAATGACGTCATGAGGAAAGTCGTTGGTAGTAGGTAAGTGCAACATCTATCATAGGTTAATAAGTAACTGCTAGACCCATGCAGTAGAACCTCGTAAATCCGGTCAACGAAGAGACATCGAAAAGTGGCCGCATTAAAGGGTTGTCCATTTTAACCCAGCAGAAAAGTAYGGGGGTTAACTGGCCTTTTGCATGAAACGGTCACATGGGGCTAAATCCACCATACTGGATGGCAAAATACCAATTAGGATGTTCAAAACAAAGAAAAGTCAAGTTTGACGGGATGCGATCCTTTTGTTTCTGAGATTGTTTTTGCMATCTAGTATGGTGAATTTAGTACCATGTGACTGTTTGTTAATGCAAAAGTCCTATTTGCCGTAACTGAGTTTYCGTATTAAGCAGGTAGACATAGAGCGGATTTCGTATGACTGTGCAAAAAAAACCCGGTACTTTCGCGCTGTGACCATACCGTGGCGTAGCGGTGATGTATTGTTAAATCTTTATTTTTATTTGGAATCCTAGAAGGCGAAGTTCCGTGCCGTGCCGTGTCCGTGTTGCGATCCGTGCCGTTACACAGGCATGCGAAATCCGCTCTAAGGTGGCGTTTCCACTAGATTTGTCGATTGAAACATTGTAGAAATAGCGTGCGCAGTGGAAGTTGTGTTTCCTTGTAATAGAAAATGATTGTTTTTCTCTATCAGGACAAAGATTGCATTAGAATTCCGTGCTGCCAATCCAGATGGTATCCTATTCTATAGTGCAGCTGGTGACGCAGACTATACTACTTGCTATATGTTGAATTGGAGGGTGAAGTGTCGYTTCAATGCTGGTGGTGGTGCTGCGGATCTCGTGTCGAAGAAGAAGTACGACGATGGAAAATGGCACAAGGTAATTTAACCATACTATACTACTATAATATCACAGTCATTTAAGCTTCAATAAACGSCCCATTTCGTATGAATGACGTCGCCTCCGATTTTCTCTAAGTTTTTAAATTAAGAATAAAACACTAAAATGCTGATCCCGCGTTAGTTGATACAGGTTTTTTTCCTTCCCATTCATTTTCAACCATACTTKTCGATGCTTTATAGCTATTAATAGTTGCTTGTGTGCACAATRACCCAGTTTCTAATTCTTCAATGCCTTTTGTTAGCCTCATTTGTGTGTAAAATATTGCTGATTGTGATTTCAAACCAATATTATTGTCCTTCTTTACAAGTTCCATGCGTTTTTACGTTGTACAGAACTCGAAATTGTAGTATTGCAGTATTTATTATAATGCGGACAGAGTTTCTCTTTCCTTTCTCGAATAATGTTTTCTCGAATATAGAGAGAGCAGCTCCGCTGTAAGTATTTATTGGAGATTAACTGGTCAGTTTTGTGAAAGCCGAAGTCATGGAAAACTTTATGGTTGTTCTTTCAGTTACTTTTCAATCGTAAGAGGAAGAACGGTACKTTAAGGATCGACAATACTAAAGTAGCAAGTGGCACTGGTGGAGGTTCACAAGGGAATGTAGACGGACTCAATGATTTCTACTTAGGAGGGGTACCCAAAGGATTTTCGCCCAAGCGTGTTGAGGTATTGTCACACTGTGTTGTTTTATGGATAAGTTTATAGACAGAGACCGTTATTCTCCTAGAGTCATAACACTTGCACCGTGAAATATGATCAAAATAAACAGTAAATATTAGTGTCTATTTATTGACTAATAGTAGATATTACTGAACCAGAACACAGTTCATGAAAACAAAAGGCAATACACAGGAGACTTGACAACTGCCATCTTTATTTCATGTACAATCAAGACAAAAGACACATCTAGATCTAAAATAACCACACAATACACTAGGGAGCGCGTTTAACGAATCTTTATTTATTTGCGCTGCTGCCGTAAAATCAAGACAAAAGACACATCTAAAGCTAAAATAACCACACAATACGCAAGGAAACGCGTTTAACGAATCTTTATTTATTTGCGCTGCTGTAGAATCAAGACACAAGACAAATCTAAAGCTAAAATAACCACACAAGACTAAATGAAACGCGTTTGGAATCTTTATTCTCTGCGCCGCAGCAAAATTAAGATATAAGACATTGTAAGGCTAAATTGAAAATACTGTAACAATATCAAACCCAGTACGCAAATGAACGTGTTTTCTAACGAGTTTATTATAAGAGCCTAAACTAAATATCAAGACAAGACGCACTGAAATGACCCGCAAAAATCTATAAACAACGTGGTTTCGAACGAATTCTATTGCTCAAAGCTGAGTTATTTGACTAGTCAATATGAAAAAGCGACTTGACAACAACCAGCGGCGACGTTTTATATTTATGCTTTGCTTTAAGCTCAAAATAAAACACAATAAATGTTATTAATCATTTCGGAAATGTTTGTGAGATACGTACCTTTTGAGCATGGGACATTAGTTACCAAATCATTATTTCAAGCAGCACTCGTAACAGTAATAAAGTTAGTTACTATAGCTATCTATTTTCACCCTATAATCAACTCTTTTTGTCCTTTCAATAAACTCGATTTCCATGAAGCCTACGTTTAACACAAGCTCTAGCCCTTCCCGACATCTTTCCTCTGGGTTTAACAAAGAACTAAACCAGTAGCTCTTTATTTCTTTCCTTAATTGTGGGTGGGACATTTTTTAACAAATTCCTCCTTCTTCATTAGGTAGCTTTTAATAACGTTGTTTGGCTTCCAAGTCTCTTGTGTATTACCTTTTGTTTTTAAGAAATGTTTTGGTTCAGTGATATCTACTATTTCATACAATGAGTCAGTAAATAAAAACTAATAGTTACTACTTCTTTGATTTTGTTTCACGGTGCAAGTGTGATGACTCTACTCTTGACAATGACAAGTCAAAAACGGTCTTAGTATAAATACAGACACCATCTTGGATTCTACTGTTTTAAGTATCGATTCAGTAAGAAATTATAAGATTCTCAGGCGCAGGGCTCAAAATAACGGCCGGTCAGTGACCGGACATGATGACCGTTCAAATACAATTTTGACCGGACATGTCCCAGTTTAGCCCGGACAAAAATGAAAAAAATAAACATAAAAACTTAAATTAAAACATATCTTATTCATACAAAAATCATAGTTTATTGGCATCAAAAGACAAAAAAGAACAAAAGCTTTTCATTTTTGAGCGTTTCATATAATAAAAATTTAGCACGCAGCGTGAAAATCTTGCGAAGAAAAAAAAAAACGCTAAAAACTCAAATTCCACGAAAAAAGCGAAAAAGCACGAAGATCGACGCCGATGATTAATTAGATCAATTTAACTTTTTACTGATTTGTATAACTATTCACTGATTTATAGCAAGTCTTTTGCTTTGACATTTCACAAATACGAAAAACAACTAAACTGCGTGTAGTCGGAACATATTACAAGCACGGCAGACAAAACCGTCGCTCGAGTGCGCAGACTTTGTTGGGGGAGKAATTGATCCGAACACCATAAGAAAATCTGCAACGAAATCAGCAAAGGAAGCTGACAGTGAATGAAGAGAGCGCACTGMTCGTTAGAGCGGATTTCGTATGACTGTGCAAAGGCATGGATCACGGCACGGACACGGAACCTCGCCTTCTAGGATTCCAARCAAAAATAAGGATTTAACAATACATCCCCGCTATGGCACTGTACTGTCACAGCACGGACGTACCGTGTTTTTTTGCACAGTCATACGAAATCCGCTCTACCTGAAAACTATTRTTGCTGTGCGAAATCAGCACGYCATTTGTATGCAGTGCGTGGCGCAATGTTTGTCTGGTTTACAACGAAAAACCAGACAGATACTCATCATACTGAATCACTGATTCAGACAAATATCCGAGTACTTTTTCAATGAGAACTTGGACAACGCTATATTTTCAACGTCCCAAGAATCGTTCGTTTACTTTACAGTCGAMCTGAATCCGCTGCAGTAGTTATTTTGATAGTTTTTTTTTTTATTTCACGTTATAGTCTTGAACGGYCAAGATGACTGGCCAAAATGGAGTTTGACCGGACAAAGGCGAATTTTGGCCGGTCATTGTCCGTTGACCGGCCGTTATTTTGAGCCCTGCCAGGGGGCGCTATGTATGGTTTGCGCAAAGCCTGTTTAGTGGCCCCATGCGGACCTATCCTACCCTCCCCAATCGCGCTCTACGCAGGGTAGTTTTTGCTTATTGTACACATTATAAAACYCTTTCTTCAGGCTGGTTTTCTGAAGGAATCTTTATTCTAATTTACAAACTATTTATGTTGACTGCGACTATGGCTTGCGTTCGTTTTGGTAAATTTCAAAACTTTCTTTCAGGACAAGCAATCACAATGGGCGTTCCCAGGATGCATCCGAGGTCTGACCGTGTCCTCTAAACCAGCTGGAGAACCGGACAAAAAACAAGGGACAACTGGCTGTGCTAAGGGTAACGTAGAGAGCGGTGTACACTTTGACAATGGTTTCATCGTTGTAGGTAAGACACTCAGCTTACCTTTTCCTCTTCACAGGGTTGACCGCTGTTTTGTTTGATCACTGGCAAAAATCGATTATACAAAACAGGCTTTAGGTTAAGGGTCGCAAACGTATCATCGAGATTAAGTGTCCAGTTTTGGTTTAAGGGCCATAGTCCATTAGGATTAAATGCGGTCGTGTTTAGATCATTCATACATCCGCTTTCATCCGTCGGTTTTAATGTCGAATCTTACAATATCTCCATTTGTATAAGATAAAGGGATAATAAAGAGTAAGTTTTTTCTTACATTACGATGTATTTTMATTTTCAAACATTAACAAAAACTCGAAARTGATGSCAGTGGACCATGGTCATTTGTACGGTTAAGAACAACCCTAGGTTSTCATAGCTTTTGAAAGTTGAWCGGCGCGTTATTAAGATAACATCRTCAWAGTTGTATTATATTTAGTTTCTYATTTTTAAAATGATAGAAAAAACGCCAGATGTAGYAATCCCACCTCTCAGCGTCACAGATCTTATMTGTGGGAGCGCAGGGGCTTGTGGGTGGGAAGATTGAAAAAGTCCAARGTTYCCACTCAAAAACCCACGYCCGTAGATACACCGAGTTGTAAAAGTTGTGGTTGATTTACTTTTGTAGACGATAAGTTTGGAGTTGGCTTCAAGAAAACGATAATGTTGGAAATCAGACCTCARACAGACACTGCGTTGATTTTATCAGCGATTAGTCCTAAAGGAGACTTTATTGTCCTAGAGCTCGTTAAGGGAGAGGTTTGTGTTAAAAACTATAGTTTCTAGCCAATTTACTTTGCATTGCATTGCATTGCAGTTTTGTTTAAGGGGAAGGGAATATTTTGTCTTTTGTTTTGTTGTTGTTATTGTGTTTTTTTTTTTTTTTAGAGGGCGGTCGGAGGGTGTTTATRTATGATATTGATATGGAATTATTGGACTTTTATTGTTCTCTACCATCCTCCCGTCCTCTAGCTGCAGACACCCAGCGATTCTCTCTTATTTTCAATCGAATCGGATGTTTACTTGCAATGCATCTTGGGAAGATCTCTTGTGAAAGTTGCTTACAAGCTATTTCGCTATTTCGCCGCATACACGCGAGATAGCAAAAATGAATATGTAGATATCGTGCTTGGACCAATATYCCCAGGATATTACACTGAATTTCAGTAAATTTCTTCTAAAACTACATCTAATTGTATATTTGTCGCAGATAATATTCCGAATGGAAAATGGCAATGGTCCAATCGAGGTACGTTACACTCCCAGTGTCAAAAACGAACTTTGTGATGGTCGATGGCATCGCATCAGAGTTGTGAAGAATGGCAAGAATGCCGCGTTGACTGTAGACGAGAACGATGAAAACAGTCGCTCTGGTGATGGCAAACTACAAAACGCAGACATCTTTGATCCTTTGTACCTCGGTGGGGTTGCAGGTAATCCAATRCACCGATTTRTGAAGATTATATTTCAGTTGTATTTATATGTATTGTAGGGTTTTTTTTGCTTTGGTTTAATTGCCAACAATCGAGACTGAAATATAAGTTACTTGGATTCGGTTACTTTGTGTTTTGAAACACTCTGTAAATTTTCGGCATATATCAATTTTATGCAAAGGTATTTAGTTGTAGACTTTTAGACCAGAAATGTGATGACCACGAGTTCACCGAATTAGACGGCACGACTTTTGCTTACAACCATCGCAGGGATTTAAAGGGCTACTTGGACGAAGACTGCGAAACATTAACAAAGACTTGGAAATCAAATAGAACTATCCATATGGGTCTATAATAATCATGAAGCAACAGATTTTAAGAAGATATTGATACAAATCCTTCATAATTTGGGCAAAAAATGTTGGAGTAGATGACGTCATTTACTCCATCCTTTTATTCTTCCATCTTTTGAATCAAAATTTCTCTGATGTGGGACAATTCCAAAAAGAAAAAGAMAAATTAACGAGAATTTTAGACCAGAATTATACCAACATGCTTTTGTTGTTTTGCAGACGGATTTTCTCACAAAGGTCTCACCACGACAGAGCGTTTTAAAGGATGTATGCGTAGCTTGGTCGTAGAGAACGTCAAAATGGCACCCATCTACCACCCCGTCAGGCAGGCTGGCAATGTATACATTGGGGGCTGCCCAATGGCACCAGCACCACCGCCTTAGAAATCACCGCAGAATATTTTCTATTTCTAGTTGAAATCATAACAATTTTGCTACTTGGATTGTTTTATTAGTTCTTTTATTTTTAGAAAAGCAAGATCTTTTTGTGCGTTTTTAAAGTTAAGGATTTTGTTAATAAAATGTATATGATATATTGACGTGGAGTGTATTTTTTGTGAGTTAACGTTCCGATGCATCGGAGGCTACTTGTCATATTCTTGTGGCGCAAAATTTGAGTTTGAAAACATCACAGCCAATCAGTTATGTTTTTAGTACTGATTCGGACGCGAAAATGGTGGTTAAAGATATCGTTTAAGAGAGTGATGAATTTTCAATACCATTATCGACCATTTTGTATTTGCAAGGTTGACAGGACAGTTTGATATTTGATATTATGAATGTCTTAAAAGGCCGGAATATACTCATATTTTTTAGCTAATTATCTTTATTCTAAAAAGGAAGGAAAAGGAAAGCCGGCATTTCCTGCGACAAATATCATAACCTTTTTGATACGTAACAACCATTTTTGAGTACTATATTTAGCAAACATGGATTCCTTGAATTTAATTGTTAGAGAAACGCCTTGCCGTTTTTCACACCGCTAGCTGGTGTTCACTACAAACATGAACGTCAGACGTCTATTAAACCTGACTTCAGAACCTAGGTCACGTGGTATGTCACAAGAAAAATCTAAAAACTTTACGAAAATGTTCTCCACGTGATCTAGTGTTTACAAGTGGATAAAAAGTAGGATGTATGCAGACAAACTATGGACTATTAGTACGATAGATTAAAATTCTTCTCGGTTCTTATTAAGGTAGTAGAGATTGACTGACGATTCTAACGATGTTTCCGAATGAAAATATATAAAAGACAGCGCAGTGGGAGTGGCTYGTTGCATGAGCAGGAAGGTCAAACAAACTTAAAAATTGTTACAAAACTTCCGGCGATCAATTTCCGATTTCATAAAAGTCCAATAAACACTCAATGGAAATTGTTCTTGACTCAAGCACTGCATGCACTATATCAATCCAGAGCCTGTTTTTTAAGGAATTGAACTGAGTGAACCATTTTCAAGAATGGAGAATAATACTCTAGTAGGACTCTACTTCTTTCACACTTTTTAAAAGTTATCGTGTTTTAGAAAGCTGACGGTGATTTTGGAACAATTACGTGCCTTTGTTTTTATTCACAGCCACTGGTGTTTACTGAGAATGGCCGCTTGCTTTCACAAGACTCATGCTCTATTTCGGTAAGTTAAAGAAAGTTGTTATGAACTGCAAAGTATTGATGGAAAACGTTGTCGAGGAGGACGGTGAACGACGATTGTCGAGGGGAGATGAAAGGGACTGACTATGGTTGCATTGTTTCGATAAACAAAATTTCATGATTGGATGCATGCACCTTGCATAGAAATGGCGACTAAATAAAACCAATGTTTACCACAGAGTTATCCTATAGTATAAATCAGTTGTTATTTCTCACCAATTACCAAAACCCATGGCTACTTTCGGTCATGCAATCGCCGTTCGACAATTTACATCGCCATTTTATCCGAMAACCTTTTTTGAAATATAGAGGATATTACATTGGCGAAGCCTACGGATTTTATCTTTGAGAGTTGAAAAGATCTTGAGATTTTCGACACGAGAAGATAAAATTCGTATCTCCATGCTCTCATGTAATATTCTGTTTATCATATAATTACATATGAAAGCAAATTATGCCATAAAATAGGTTTTTTCTTACTTCCATTATATATATAGACCTCGAATGTGTTATTTTCACTAGTGAAAATATCAACTTGACACAATGGAGAAATATCATGGGCGTCGGAGCGTTTTCTGCGGGGAGCTAAGATTAATTAATATTGTGGTCAAGAAATCCTTTTTTATTCATCAAGCTTTCATTTTGAAGAAATATAACTGTTAATGAATTACAACGAGCTTTTATCATGAAACAAAATTAAATTTTCGAAAATACTCGGATTCATATAAATAATTATATATGATAAAGGTATATATTACCATGATGATTTTCTGATATTACCTGCTGTGCAAAACGAAAAATTAGGGGTTTGTACTCGCCGTTTGCATCTGAAAATAATGTGCCGTGTGCAACTTTCTTTCTCTGCGCATACATGATATTAGTTCGACAACGTACCGTGATGAAATTATTAATTCATACAAGTCAATACAATTTATTTATTTATTTTTGTCTATATTCTATGGGGGCTGAACTTTGAGATTCCATATCAACTGCAGACCTCGGATATGAGAGTCACATTCCAGTGCCAGCTTTATCATTCTAAGCGTGAACCTAGTGCCAACTGTGATAAGATCTGAAATCTCACGCGTAGAAATGACAAAGTTCGTTCATTGTATGTTTTTGAAGCCGGGTTAAAGTACAGCTAACATAAATTTAATAAAATAAATACTTAAAAAAGAAGAGAAGAGAACTTAGGCCTCTAGCCAGGGTACTCGGTACTTATACACAGCCGGGAAGTTAATTTTAGGCCGCGATTCGTGGATTGCCTGCTTTCTTCTCAACATGCACACATTTCCTAACGGATTGACAGAGTGTTGTGCGTTCCGCATGGTTGTTCTCCACTGTCAGACAGTCCTTCTAGCTCAGTTCAATCGAATAAGTCAACGTTTTCAATTCCGCTTTATAAATAACAGGTCATCTATACATATAGAGGACATGAGCAGAGACAAGAGATTTGCCTACCAAGACCTACGGTAAGACACATTTCCTAAAGAAACAAACTATATCGAGAAAAGGTCTTTTAAGATTAAAATCTTGTAAATATAATCTGAAAGTCGAACAAAATTTTATATTCGACACATTCAAGCGTATGCAACAAATTTTTGAAAGTTTTTATCTATCGGCAGCTTGACTTCGGGGAACTCCGGGGTAAAAGTACCCGGGGGATGCTCGTCGGAAATTTTCAAGAAGACCGCCCTAAAACATCCCGGAAGTCTTGGGCGTGGTTGACTGATTTTTATAACCCCTAAGAGATAACACAACAAATATTGTTAAATTCAACGTCAGGCAGTGGTTTTTAAAAAAAATCGTCGGAACATCTTTAATTTCAATTATTACAACAAGGAAAATGCAATAAAGACCGAAATATAATACTAATCAACAATTTTCAAACACAAGCACGGCACTTGAGATTTTTCGACTGCCAGCTACTGCCTGACGTTAAATCCCAGAACTAAACGTCAGGCAGTCGATTTTTTTGAAAAATCGTCGGAACAACCGTAATTTCAATTAATACTGCAAGGTCCTACAATGGAAATGCAATATAAAGACCGAAATAATACTGTTCGACAAGTTTGTATTAGTCACAAGCACGGCACATTTTTTCGACTGCCTACAGACGTTTAGGGCTAGACTCCTCGCAGCCGTTTTCCGGTGTCGTCTCGAGGATTAAGGAGACGACACCGGAAAACGGCTGCGAGGAGTCTAACGTTTAGCCCAGAACTGAGGTGACGTCAGACAGTCGAAAAATCTAAAAGTGCCGTGCTTGTGTTTGAAACTTGTCGAGCAGTATTATTTCGGCGGTCTTTATTGCATTTCCCTTGTTGTATTAATTGAAATTACGGTTTTCCGAGGATTTTTCAAACAAACAAACAAAAAAAAAAAAGTCGACTCCCTGGGTGTTTACCATTTACACAAAATTTCCGGAAATTTTCGGATCAGTGATCAAAAGTTTCGGGTCAGTGAATCGAACATGACGTATTAGAACTTTCCAAATATGGCTTGCAATCGGTTTAGAGTGTGTTTTGTGCATTTTCATGCAGCTCAAAAGACGTGAATAAAACGAAATGGAGGTTAACTTGCTTAGCACTTTAATGTTGGTTGAATCTGCTACCTGATGAAATTGAAAATTCATTTTTGACAACAGCAAACAAGAATTAACCCTTATGGAATCGGTTTTTATGCAACGTGCATTGCCAAGAAACGAAGATTTTTTTTGAAGTTGTCATCCAAAATATTGCATCATCTTCGAAAGCCACTTTAGGATGACAAGAA